GACTTTCCATCAGGAATTTCACCAGACTCTACTCTGTAACAATTTAACTGTTAAACCCACCTTGGCAAAATAAGTTCAGATAAAGTCTTGTAATTATAAAGGTGGCTTTAACAGCTGACCTCTTTCACATACTTACTAGAGGGCTAAATTAATCTCTCAGCAGGCAGCATTGTCCTCAAACAGTACTAACAGCATCAGCAACCTGTCTGAACAGTTGGTGCACATTGCACAGAATCAAACCTAGATTTTTGACTGTCAAATGTTTGCTTTTGTTCTAGTCAGGAGTATCGTGTCCGTACAATTGTTTTTTAAGTATAACTTGAATGTGTAGATTCTGTTGAATAAAATTATGATTTTCTGTGGGCCAGTACCCTCTTAAATAAAGCTTAGATTGTTATTCACTTGTCACTGCCTGGGGACATAAAAATAAATGTTGCATATTCTAAATGAAAAGGTCAGCTGTATGCTTCATTTCTGTAAAATGCTCATAATATTATTCAAACGTGACCCTTTAAAATGTTATCTTGGAATCCTTGTGCAATGCAAGGTTTTTATCTGAACTGAGCTTATGAAATTGAAGTGATTTAAATTTATTTCTATTCTTCTGCAAGAAAAGCACACACTTTTATAATTGTTCTCAGAAATTAGGTTGGAATGAAAAACGAGTTATCAAAGAACTGCTTAAGTGCTGTCTTGTCAAAAGTAACTTAATTAAGAGGCTGTTACTGTGTAAATGCTCTGTGCGAGAGCAGCTTTCTATGTGTACAGACCCTTGCAAACACTAGGGTTTAGCACAAAATTCTATGAATTGATCCTTCAGATGTGACATTTGAGAGTACTGTGGGATCCGTAATCTCTGTTATGCTTGGATGTTATGCTTGGATGATATCTGCCCTGTGATTAACTGCCATGTGATCACCTGTTTTAATCAGGTTCGCGAGACCCAGGCATTGATCTTGGCACCAACTCGGGAGCTGGCTGTACAGATTCAGAAGGTAGGAGCATGTAAATCGCCATCTGTAAAACACTTGCAAGGCCTGGGGCCAATTCTCAGGTATTTCCCAGCACAGCTCAAAGCACAGCTTCTGCGTTTTCTTTCTGTTCCTGGAAGAAATAAGAAATTCTGATAAAGGGCTGTTTTGCTCATCTGCATTATATCCCTTCTTGCTTACATGACCACATTGGCTAGCAGTCTAAGGTTTTACACATTCCTAACTGAATTTTTAAGGACAGCACTTCTAAAGCAGTTCCTGGGGAACTGAGTTCCCAGTGTTTGAAAGCCTGCTGTTGAGGAGGTTTGGGTAACAGACCTAAAAAAATTCCTCTAACTGCTTGTATTTACATCTCTCAAAAAAAAACACTGTATGGCTGTGCAGATCTGCATCTCTTCATAAATACAAACTTCATGAGAGCTCAGTTAATTAAGCCATTCCTTTGTATCAACACAGGGTCTTCTTGCTCTGGGAGACTACATGAATGTCCAGTGTCACGCATGCATTGGAGGGACCAACGTGGGCGAAGATATCCGAAAACTGGATTATGGGCAGCATGTTGTTGCTGGCACTCCAGGCCGTGTGTTTGGTAAGGATATGTGGGAGGCTACATCACCTCCAGGTTCAGACCTGAGTTGAGCCATGGGGAACCTCCTGCAACATTTGTACGCTTAGATTTGAAATAGCATGAAAGTTACATTTATCTTGACACCATTAATGTGACATTAATGTGAAGTATAACAAGGTAACAACTTACTGTGGCTGGAAAAGACTAGGGAGAAATCAACAGGAATAGTATTTGGATTTTCTGTTTATATTTTGCTTTTCATTGTTGAAGTGTTTCTCTATATGGTGGCATGGGAACAAAGAGTATTTTTTCAGCAGAAAATATTACAGTCCCAGGAAATACTTCAGAATCTTGGAGGAGAGAGGAGCTGGGTCTATCTGAATGTCAAAATTAGGTCCACATTTTCTGCGTACTGGCCATCGCGCTCTCTTTGTTAAATCAGGTGCACTTGCAGCTGGTACTTTCGGGTTTCATTGCATGAAGATTTTTATATTTACTGTTCATGGCAGTTACCACACTGATAGTGTTAGCCTTCAAGCTCACATCTTCTGGATCTCTGAGAAGCAGGCAGCACTTTCTTACACAAGCACCTGTCACTGGGAGAACATAGAGCTCACAAGTGAAAAAACCCAAAAAATTAGACAGCTGCCGAACTGGGCTGGCTTTGAACAGCACACTAATAACAAATACTTTCCTATCGCAGTATTAAGGGATTACACAAAGCCATGTGCTCTTTCAAACAGGATGTGGATTTCCCCAGTCTGTTGATGAAAAGTTCATGTAGCATTTTGAATTTGTCACATCCAGCTGCAGTTACTGTGGGAGACTGGGTCGCCTGTCCTGTGCAATTAGCAAATACCATCCCATGGCTTGAACTCTCAGAGCTTTCCTGCAGTCAGTGCTCCCTTAGCCAAGCTGCAGAGATGTCCCCCTAGGTTGCAGGGTGCAGTGGGCACGCTGTGGCCCTTGGATGTGCCTTCCGTCACCAAACACCAGCCCCTGTTGGCAATAGGGGAAGTGCCTGTGCCTCCTCCACCGAAATGCCCTGACAGCGGGTGGGAGCAATGTAGGCTCGCTTGCTTTCAGGGTCTTTTCATCTTACAAAGTGAAATCTTACAGATATGATCCGTCGTCGAAGTTTAAGGACTCGTGCCATCAAAATGCTGGTTTTGGATGAAGCAGATGAAATGCTTAATAAAGGTAAAATATTTGTCTCCCTTTTACTTCCTTTCTTCTCACCTCTTTGAGATTCCAGGGTGTCCTCGCTGGCAGTCCCGCTTCTAAAAACAATTGGTTTTGTCAAAGTTAGACAATTATAGTTAATTATAGGCTGTAACAGGTTAAACTACTGAATGTGTCTTGTCTGATTTAGTTGTAGTGTCCTTTTCAATAGTTAGAAATTCTTGAGCACTGCCTTTCATACTTTACTGTATACCACGGCCACATTGTAGTGGGTTTGGGAAAATTAGGAAGAGATGAGCAATATGAGACACTGGCTTTGAGTTACTGATTCACTCATAAATGTTCATCTCCTAGCATAGGCCCAATACTGAATTCCAGACCAAATTGTGAAAGAGCAGGATATTCAGGGGAAAGATGTGCTGACTGTTCTGTGCTACTTGATTTGCTTTTCAGGTTTTAAGGAGCAGATTTATGATGTGTACAGATACTTGCCTCCAGCTACACAGGTGGTTCTGATCAGCGCCACTTTGCCTCATGAAATTCTGGAGATGACCAACAAATTCATGACAGACCCCATTCGCATTTTGGTGAAACGGTGAGTGATTTTCCTTGGGAAGAACAGGAGCTCTTTGAGTTGGTCCAGCCCTGGGCAGTTCACAGTATTAACTGATTTAAATGTGCAGAGTCTCTCTCACGTTCCTTCTCACCATTGCAGTTTGTCTACATGTTTGCAGACATCCTCATGTCCTGTTTTCTAGCAGAGGCCGACTCATCTCTCTGACTTTATGCTTGTCCAGTTCTGTTTGCTGCTGCTCAGCCTTACTGCCCCCCACCCCCTGATCCTCCCCATGTATAGCGGTCTCTTCTCCTAGAAAACGATCTTTCACACCTACCCAATTCCTGTGTTCCTCCAGAGGATTTTTGTAGGCCTCCTCCATTAATTTGCTGTTATATAGCAAGCCAAAAAAGCCTTTAGCTAACTGATCCTGAATGTCCTTGGAGGTGTAGCTTATGTCTGGTGGTATCACAGGTCCTCATGCACTGGAACTCGGCAGGAGTCAAGAGGAGTAAGTGTAGGCAGCCTGACAGGAGGAGCCTCCCTCTTGCCTAATCTCTTACACTGCCCCCTTTACCTTTTTTCAGTCTCTCTTGTCAAGAAGCTTTAATGTAAAAACTATGAGAACAGAAATGTTTCCCTTTGAAGCTGGCTGTCTAGAGCAGAGAGAGTGCCCCGGGAGTTCTAGTCTCTGTTGCGTGGGTCACGTTGGAGGCCCTTCTTGGAGCAGACTTCTCCAGGGACTTTCTAGAACGACTTGGACTTGTGTATAGACCCAGCAACCCACAGCACACAGGGCAAAGGTGTGATCTCTGCTGAAGCACACCCAGCCCTTCTAACTGCATTGTATGTATTCACCTACTTGTGGTCTGGTATAGCTGTTCTTCTTCCCTACAGTGATGAGTTGACCCTCGAAGGAATCAAGCAGTTTTTTGTGGCTGTGGAGAGAGAAGAATGGAAGTTTGACACCTTGTGCGATCTCTACGACACACTCACAATCACCCAGGCTGTCATCTTCTGTAACACCAAGAGAAAGGTATAGCAGCCATCAGATGGGCATGTTACTTTCAGAGGGTGACTCAGAGGAGAATACTAGGACAAACTAAAGAGGTCTGGTTGTTTCCCCGTTTGGGAATAATTTAGTAAGAACAGAGGTTAAACATTTGTCTTCAGGATATGCCTAGCTTAAATAACTGGTTTTAGGCAGACCTGATATAGTTGCCTTTTTAGAGAAGTAGAACTGATTAGGTAAGAATGTGCTTATTCTTCTAATTGCTTATAATCCCTGAAACAAAACCACACTTTCTGAATAAATGCCCTTAATTCCTTTCCTTTCAGGGCTTGTGGAGCCCTGTATCATATAGCTGATGCTTTGTAAGAATTATTTACTTCCTTTAGCTTCAGAACACCTGTTAAAGTGTCTCTCGGTCCTTACCAGCATATGTCTCTGCAAACATTCTCCAAGAACAACTGGCACATTTGGCTCTCCTAAGCAATGAGCTAACCCAGGCTGCTTGGCTGTATGCACAGGTAGACTGGCTCACAGAGAAGATGAGAGAAGCCAACTTCACGGTTTCATCCATGCATGGGGACATGCCACAGAAGGAGAGGGAGTCCATTATGAAAGAGTTCAGATCTGGCGCAAGGTAAATGCCTTAGTGTTGCTTACAGCATTGCTACCTCAGGGCAGGATTTCTTCTAGTGTCTGAAGGGAATAGGCCTCAGAAACCCATAAAACCTCTCCTCTCTGAAGGCCTTGTTCAGCTCAAATTAGGAAGAGCTCTGATTCCCATCTATCCCCCTGTGGTGTCACAGGGTTGGGAGATTGCCACTTCCCAGGGAGGGATGCTCATACTTACAGGCATAGAATTAGTCTGTTTTATTTTGCTGAAGAGGTTGGGAGTTGCTGCATTTAAAATAAGTCAAGGAAAAAAAATATTTGGGCTCTCTAAGGAGCATCATATTCTTTCTGAAAGATCAAAGCTGTGTTGGTACTACCTGTCTTCACGGAAGATTGGTGATGCTGCATAGAACAGCTTTCCTTTCAGCAAAAGTGTGGATGCTGCCAGTGTGCTGTGGGGAGGGAGGAGTGCAGAATAGCAGGGGATGCCGTGTGCTGGAGCCTACAACTTCTCAGCTCTCACGCCCACCTCAGTGGGGTGAAACAACCATAACTGTCCCCTTCTCTTTGCAGCCGAGTCCTTATTTCAACAGATGTTTGGGCTAGAGGCCTGGATGTGCCTCAGGTGTCCCTGATCATTAACTACGACTTACCCAACAACAGAGAACTCTACATACACAGGTAGGCTCAGCCTTCACATGGGGAAGTGTGGCTGGATTACCCTTTCCGAAGGTGGCTCCATTCTCTCTTTCCTTCTGCCTCCACAGAATTGGCCGCTCAGGCAGATACGGCCGAAAAGGTGTGGCGATCAACTTTGTGAAGAATGATGACATTCGCATCCTGCGAGACATCGAGCAGTACTACTCCACCCAGATAGATGAGATGCCCATGAACGGTGAGTGCAGGCCAGCCCCAGAGAGGCTGCTGCCCTCCTCCAGTGGGGAACTGGTGTGCTGCATCTGAAAGAGAAATGCCAGATGCTTTGTTCTATGACATGCCTCATTCCCAAGCCTGACCCATCTTTGCTTCCCCTGGGGAAGAACCTGGGAACAGCAGTAGGTGCTCTCAGCAGACTCGGTGCATACTTACTTTCTCTCATTTTCTCTCATTTCAGTTGCTGATCTTATCTGAAGGTCCGTGTTTACCAGGGAGTTGTACTTGCACTGCTTGGTAGCCTCCATAATTCTGTTTTGGACCCACATCCTTTTATCATATTCCTGATCATACGTTCTTGAATTGAGCTGCACTTGGGAACTTGTGTAAATAATGTCTTTACTCCCGCCCATGTTTTTCAATAAAAAAAGGAAGTTTTACCACAACCTGTGCTTAATTACTTTAACACAAGATAGTAACAGGCAGGGAGTTTTGAGATAGTGCCATACTTGGCTAGCACAATTGAAAAAACATTTGACACAGTATATCTAGGTTCATGAAATACAGGGCTTCCTGTTCTCCACCCTTTCATTATTGCTGTGCCATGCTGCCCGAAACTAAACTTTTTAGTTTCCTTAACTTGACTCTAAGGATCAGCCATCTACAGGAAAAATCTGTGTCCCTAGCCTGCTCTAAGAAAACTGAGTTAGAAGATAGCCAGAAAATAAATTTCCTCTTGTTTATGCCTTTCTGGAGCCGAAGTCACGTCACTCATTGCTCTGGGTGAGTGTTTCCCCTCCCAAGGAACTCGGGGACTTGAACAGGTGCTTGTGAGGCTGAGTGCCTCTTTAACTTGATGCCAGCTGGAGAAATACATTCTAATCAGCATTTCTTGAAGTAACAAAAAGAGCAAGTATCTTTTATCTTGTTGCTTTCTCTACCCCTTTCTGATGCTGTAGTTTGTTACATCTTCCCAGTCATCTCCTAATCTGTCTCGCTACAGCATTATGCTGTACTTTGCCAGCCGTAGTATCCTCCATGTAGCTTTCCAACCTAGCTCTGCTGTAGCCTTTTTGAGGCAAGAGTAGCCAGAGCTATACTGCTGGTGTGGGGTAAGTTACCATGTTCTACTCTATGCTTTTTCCATTAAATTGGTTTATGCTTGCTCAGGGAGGATGGGGAAAGCAAGGCCTTAGTACACCACCAGTTTGCACAAAACTGGAACAGCTCTCAGAGCTTCTTTCCTGAGTCAGTAGCAGAGGAGCCCTGGGTAGAGAAAGTGAGCATTTATCTGCTTTATGCCCCCATGTATTCCACTAGTTGAAGTTCCTCTGTTCCCTTGTACCTGCTCTGTGCATGATGCTGATGTTCTTAACAGTACATAGGCAAAAGTTGAGAAATACTAACCTTGTTTTACTAAGAATACTAATTGTAAGGGGTAGCCCAAAAGAGGTGAGGCTACTACAGCTTCATGCCCCCATGTGCAACCAGCAGCAAGGCTGAGCCAGCATTCCCAGTAGGCACACACAGAACATGTGCTCACCCCACCCATTCAGCATGGCACAAACAGCATCAATACCCTCATCTTATCCCTCTCCGGCTGATCAGGATGAAGGTCTGTTAGTGGGAAATAAACACACGCAAGCTGTGGATCCCTCCAGTAACTGGGCAAGGAGGCTCAGTTCATCCAGTAGCTGGCCTCTGTATTACCAGTCTGCTCCAGTAGCTAGCAAACGGACACGGCCCACATCCCCACTCAGTTGCTGGTTCAGCCTACCCTTGCACACACTGTGGATGTCCGCAGTAACCAGCCTTCAGACACAAGTCTGTCTTGTAACTGGCTCTTGGAGCCTCTTTTGTTTCTAGTTGCCTCCCATAGAGGGAGTCACACACATACAAATAGGTCTCAGTTGAACCCCAGACCCTCCAACCCTCTGGACCTCCTGGGTCCTTCCAGTTGCCTCACGCAGAAATAGATGTGTATTCCGCCCAGACTTACGGCTGCTTCAAGACCTGGCTCCCAAGCCCCTCACCCTCCTTGCTGGCTAAATCTGACTTGATGTTCATATCCTGACACAATCTCACTCTGCAGTTGCTGGCACTTGCTTTCCACTTGCTCCAGTCTCCAGTTTGCTGGCACTCCAAACATACAGCCCCTGTGACCCAAGGTCCCACTCCAGTTGCTGGCACGTAAGACCTCCATACACATAGAATGGAGTCCCCTCTGCCAGGAAGAGGGTGAGAAATGGAGTTAACAGTGAAAACAGGACAGACATGGCCAGACAAGAACACTCACCAGCAACCTGTTGCCACATGACCAGCCCCTTTTATCCCCTTAATCATCTATTTCCCACACTTGCTCCTGCCAAAAATCACCTTGGCCCCTCCCTCTTCCTACTTTTGTTCCCTCCCACAAAGCTGAAGGGTTTTAATTCTGCAACTTCTTGGCACAGTGTTCTGGAACTCTGCCCCTACATACCCTGTTTTAGTCCTCTACTAGAAGGGTAGTCTGGATAAAGCCTTCCAGCTTCACTGTCCACATCCTGGACAGAGTTCTGCTCTCCATCACTGCAGGGCAAGCAGGGCATGGCACAGCCTCAAATCCGACTCATACCTTCCCGGAGAATGCAAGCAGCAAAGGCAAGCATGGCCCTCCAAGCCCCCTGTGTGATTCTAGTTGTTTGACTAATAAAGAAAAAAGACATTCATCACCAAAGCATTAGATTGTTTAAATAACAGTATTTAATCTGTACAGTTTGAGAGAAGATATCATAAAATGCAACATTCCTACCTCATCTTCAGCATCATTCACCTGGAGCTGAGCCCTCATCTCCAGAGGGCAGGTAACCACCACTCCCCAGCAGTTCTTTATGGTACAAAAGTCACAGTGCAATTGCTTTAGTCCTAGACAGATAATTTCCCTCACTCAAGAGAGGGGAGACTGATGAAGCTCAAATGTTGATGGAAATTGTTACCATTTAGGAATGCAAAAAAACAGCTATTGCACACAGTCATTTCCAGCTGAAACTACAGCAGTTAATTATTTAGCTGCCTTTACACTCCACACATCTGAAAATGCCTTCGTTGATACCGATTTAGTCAAGAGTGAAAATAGAGCCAGTAACAAGATTTCAGAGTGATACAGTTGTTGGAGGGCAGAAGCTGACAAGCAACTCCACAAGTCAAGAAGCTTTAGAATACCAGAAAGTTTTCCTATACAAGGAGGGGATATGAGCTAGACAGATGTCACCCTTCAGAGACAAGCATGAGAGGAACATCGGCTTCAACAGAAAACTATGAATTACAATAGACAATTTGTTCATATAATTGTCAGGATAAGTATTTGACATAGTTTATGTAGTAGAATACATACTCAAACATCTTTTAAAAATAAGCACGAATTTCATTTCATATATACACAACTGATTTTAATCATGTACTGAAAATAAATTACAGGAAATAACTTTAAAATGCAACAGAAGACAAGAGTTTCACAACAAACATTCCCATTGATTTTCCCAAGGGGGTGAAAGATTGCAGTGCTCAAGGCAGGTAAATATCACAAATATATCAAAAAACTTCAAATAATTGATGCATTCACACATTTACATGAGCCACAAACATTCCTTTACAGAGACTGCACTTAGCTATCACAGAACCAGGTTTTGCCATAAACTACAAAACTTTGATACAAAATTGTATTTATATATTTATATTTCATATACATGCCCTATCTGTGATTTCTTAAAAAATAAAAACTAAACACACTGTACAGACAATCCTAACTCATTGCTTGGTAGCTGTAGGCAACATTTTTGGATGGAATTTCTCCCCCAGTAGAATTAATGGCAATATTATATACATGAAGGCTAAACTGCAGAAAAAGACAGCTCAGTTCTGATATGCACCTCCCTCGGGACCAGGTCTGCGAGTTCAAGGCAAGACACCATGTGCTCTGACCCACTGCCTCCCTCACAAGTCAGTTCTGCTGTTGGTGGCGTGAGGAACCAACACATGCATTTGTGTAACACTGGTATAAAAGGCAATAAAGCAAGATACATATTGTAATGTAGTGGCTCTAATGGCTTCACTGACTTGATACACTCAAAACACAGAAACACTCGTTAGAGGTGGCAAGGGAACGTTGTGGAGCTGGGTACATTTCGTGAGAGCACACCTTATGTGGGTCTGATCATTATACTTCCCTGAAATTACCTCCCGCAGAGGACAGATTCCCACTGTAAGCCAGAGACTGCATCAACTCAAACACTGGGGGAAGACCCCTTCCCCACACACCCCCCGAACACTCACATGCACAGTTCACCAGGACGATACCCGAAACAGACACCCTCCCTCCCACCCCCAGCAGTCTCCATGGCACCAGTTTGTCTTAGAAGCAGAGCACTGACAAACTTGCTCTTCTCAGGTGATGGCAGCAATCTGTGAAGCCAGTCACACTAAACTACTTCTACAGTTGATTGTAAACTTTGGTTTATTTTTATTTTTTTTTTTTTAATTATTGAGTTCTCATGGTACAGCAAGCATGTCTAGGATGAGAGGGTAGAGTTGAAGAGGAGATGAACTGTCAGTCTGTCTTTAGTCTGGCATGGTGAGACACCTGCTCGGTCAGGCCTGCTTTGATAGAGTTTTTTACAGACTGCCTCATATGATCCTCCATCAAATTATCACTCATGGGCTTCAACACCTGTGGAATGAGAAATGTGCAAAAGAAACAAAAAAATGAGATAACCAAGGAAAATAAAATACAAAAACATACAAAGAGATGAGACTTGAAATAATGAAAAAACTTAGAACGCTGAAGTCTGACACAAACTGAAAGATAAATGAGTTTTGCTGCTACAGTAATGAGGTTAAATCAGTCACATGCTATGAACACAAGTGATATCCCTCCTATACAGCAGTATTTCACTGAATTCAAACCACTTTACAGTTCCTAGAAGATGGATGTGCAATTCCATACCCTATATGCAGCATCAGTCTGGTATGGTTACAGCATTTATGCAGACCGGCCCAGACGGTCCAGCTTATTGTCCTATATGTGTAAGTGTGAACACTTCAGATACAGAAAGAAAGTTAAAAATACTGGCTAGTTTTTCTTCTTGTTATTGTTGGATGAGAGTCGCTGTCGCGGCACTGATGTAAGAGCATGGCGAATCGTTCGGCGTCTAAGGACTTCAAAGAGTTTGGAAAACACCTAAAACACGAATTCAGCTGTTAGGAAAAGTGGCTCTTAGAAGGCGGCAGAAAAAGTCAATCGAGTTCAGAAAAAAGAAACTGATTGCCAGTAACTTCTCACCTTCCTGGGATTCCTCTGAAGCAAGGAGGGAAAAGAAAGGCAGAGATTCAGAAAAATCAATAGCAAGAACATGGTATATAATCAGAGTGACTCGGACAGGACCTATAGGTACTCTGCATATTATTGGTGATGTGCAACTGTAGCAACACCACCAGCAAGCTCTTTTGGAGACCACCTTCCTCTAGCCCACAAAAGGCAAGATGCTGCTAGCATAAGCCAAGTTCTCCCCCTTCCAGGGAAGGTCAGCAGTCAAATCAAGCCTTATGTGCTCTAGGTCTCCTACAGCACCAGCTGCACTCAGTGAGTACCTCCACGCAGAACTGACACCTTCCACTTTTCTTGCAGTGCTCTTCTGCCCCAAGCTCCAAAGCAAGAAGCTACGGTGGTACAGGAGAGCCTCAATTTTAACCACTAGTTAGGGGTGTGACTCAAAATTTAGTACCCTGTTGCTCATCTCCCTCCTATTATTAGAAATCCACTTTTTCCACTCCAGTGTAACTCATAACCTTGCCTGGTTGCTCAGATAGGTCTAGTGTACCACTGCCTATGACGAACCCTGAACAGAGTCCTTTCCAGATGTAAAAGAGAGCCTCTGTACAGAAGGCTCCAGTTAGTTATTTGCTCGTGCCTCGTAGGACCCATTTTAATGTCACCCCAGGGAAGTTCAGTGAGCCTTTTATTTCTAGTAACAACAGCACCAAAGTGTTTCCCTTCTGCTGGCACTGGACATAGATATTCGGAATGCTCCAAACACTACTTGTAAGAGGTGGTCAGGAATTCTCTACGTTGGCTTTACTGACACAGCTGTGTCAACTGGAATCACGCAGCAATATCTCTGTACAGAAGGCTTTCTCCTCCAGCTTTGGTACTCCTACATGTTGTCTTATCTTTCAGGAATTAGTCTGGCGAGTATTTCTCGCAACAGCAGTTGCACCAACTGAAGTTGTCACAGACAACACAAGCCTTCCTGAAGGAAGAAACCTGCTCTACATCCTCTTCTAGCAGTTGCTGCAAGTCAGTCTGGTTGCTGCAAGTCATCAGCCAGTTCTCTCTGAGGTCTAATTAGCCCTCCAGTGTCATACCATCAGGTGAGGTGAGGGAGGGCAGAAGTGTTTCGCCTTCCCCATTTCTTGCACCACCTGAGATACTTTATCCACCACATCCACAGGGCAAGTTTATCACTTTAAACGTACCTTTAAAAGCAGAATTCCTTGCTCTGAAAAGGTAACAAGATTTTTAAAGAGTCCCTCCACTCTTTGCCATCCATGCACCTAGTAAGGCCTTTAAATAACACTAAGCTTGTTTAACGTTCTTTGTGTGTGGCATCTCTTACTGAAGAGAGCAGTCACACTTCTGTGCTGATTTTCCCTTTGGCAGCACCAGCATTCTCCATTAGGTCTAGACCAACTTTTCACTCACAGCACTGAACAGAAACTTTTTGGTATATCTGCTCAAGAAAGGAAGATTTTGTGTTAAAAACAGATACCAACCTGTTCCCATATAGCTTCAGCAATCTGATCAATGGCTGTTCCAACTTCTCTGAATTCCCCAGAGTACTTAACGTATGCCCAAGTACAAAACGATATAAGAGCCATCCCCAGCACGAGATTACACAGGGTAGCTATGGAGTTCATACCAAGGAACCCAGTCAGTCCTGAGATTATATACATGGCAAACATGACTGCAAATAGAGTGGCAGGGGTACGAGCAGCATAAAAGATGTTTTTGCCATCGTTGTGCTTCACAAAGTTTGCATAGATCTCGTCGATTTCCACTTCAAGCTGTTCCTGGTAGCGCCGACAGAACTCCTCCCCTCCCATCTTCTTCACCGAGCAGAACTGCCTGACAGCTGACTCTCTGAAATCCTGGTGCTTCCGCTCAAGGTCCGATGGGGCAATGTAAGGCTTATCTCCCCCGCAAACCTGTTAGAGCAATCAGAGATGAGGTCATCACACCTTGAGTATCTTCTGCTGTACAGAAAGCAAACCTGCTCCTCACTGCCCCCCTCTCAAGCCAACATCAGACTACCTCCTGCTACAGAGCTTTCTTGGCTCTGTAAGCTCTAGAGTCCTGTTGCAAGTGAAGCAGCTAAAGGTATTTCGCATCATGGCACACTAAGAGCCTTATCTGTCTAATCACATACAGAGCTATAGCACAGGACTGAACTCATACTTTCAACTGTTCCCTTTGGGCAAGCCCAGAAGGACAGGACATCAGCCACACATACATTCCAATTATGAAAAGGTGAAATAAAGGAACACAGGAGGCAGAGAAAGCTTGGCTTGAGGAAGGTTAAGGAGAACTCTGAAGGCCACAAGCCCTCCCCTCAACTTTTTACTCCTGGTCACCCACCTCAGAGGGTCAGTGCAGAACTTGGACAAATAGGGTAGATTTTGCCCACTCAGAAAGTTTATTCCTGTTTATTTCTGCCACTAGCAGGCTCCATGGAACTTACCAGGTGATATGAATTAACAAGAACTAGCTGCTGACATCTTTAGCCTATTCTTCCCTAGACTGTCTTCTAGGCTTGATTCTGATCAACTTGTGAGAGTACATTTCTGCTGAAGAGACAAGACCATGAACTCAAATGGATACCCGTGATGTGGACACCCACCATCTTCCTCTCCCTGAATCAGCATGGGTATGAAAATGGTTAGACTCCAAGGATGTCTACTCTGTAAGACTGATTTCTGACCTCTTGAGGACTATGATTAGAGATTACCTAATCTGACCTAGAGAGGCCATCAGAGACATTCATATGGCAGATCAGGTCCAACTCCTCCAGACCCTCACAGTCAGACTATGTCTAAAACTGAAGACTCTTTCCATATGATGGCAAACAACAGCCTTCCCTCTCCTGCCTCAAAGTAGTCTTATCACAGTGCTTGTGATCTCATGTCTTGAGTGCAGCAACAACTTTAACTTTCTCCTGCTGCTCTCCCTTCAGCAGAACACAGAAAATCACTTTCTCAGAGTACAGCACCCCCTTTCTGCCTCACAAGATGCATGGCTTCACGGGCTAGCTTCTTCAAGGCAAACATCACTATCAAGATCCTGACACCCCCACTCTGCCCCCTGCTCAAGTTTAACAAGCACCTTTCTGCTTTTTCCGTATTGAAGTCCTCCATATCTGGAACCTCCCCCCTGGAAAATGGCTACTAGTCTCATCCCCCAAAACAGTCTTTTCACATTGCCCAGAGCGTTAAACACTAGGAGCTGCTGATGCATCATGACCACCACACAAATAACTGCCACTGTTTTCTTATACTCTGTGTGACTGCACCTGTTGTTCCTTACATTTAAGGTCATTAAGGGGACAGTATTTTGTTATGCACACTCAGCAGAGGAGAGCTTTGGTTCACAAGGAGAACTCAGAAATTACAGTAAGAACTATCTTTACATAATCCAAAGAGTTCCCACTTCTGTTCCTAAAAATAGAAATTTCAGAGCTGTGTCACACTAAGAACATCATCTGAGACATCTGGATAAAAAAGATTCAAGACATTTGTATGTATCTCTACAGTGATATAAAAATATACAGTACTGGGGAACATTACTATGGAAACAAGGCTGTTTGAGAGAACACCTGTTCCTGTTTATTCCTTGCCCCAAGTAAGAAACCTTACAACTACAGTATCTCAACAGCCATTGAAGATTCAAGGTAGGAAGGCAGACTCGGCATTTATTATGAACAACCCATTTACTATTTCAAGTGATTTTCCAAAATGGAAACAAATGAAGGAGTCCCTCTACCCCAGCAGAGCATTCCCAAAACAGCCTGATAACAACTGGAACTGGCTAGTCTGCCACTAGCATTAGGTCTTACTCTAATTTCAAAATGGAAAGCTACTTCAGCGATTAAGACCAGAATTAGCCTATTTAATGGGAGCTATGTTTGTAGCATGTTATCACACCTACTGGTCTTTTCCGGTTGTAGAGTTTCACAATAAGCATAGTCCTGTTAAGCTTTACAAGACATGGTATTGTTTTCAGAATTTCCTATGATAAAACCTTGCACAACACTACGTTGCAGTATGAAGTCCATCCAGACATTCAGCTTGGAGTGGTACAAGTGACTATCTTCAAGAGAAGAAGCAAGTAGGAAATCACATATACAGCTTTTTCAGACAAGATCATTCTTTCAAGTTTGTTTTTTTTTTTAAAAAACTTTAGACTAATTTTAATCCTTGCATTTTACAGCTAATGAATGACCACAATTCAGAAGCATGAGACTATAATACTAGAACTCTACCCTTGCATGACCCTGGCCCACCAAATGTCTCCTCACCTGTTTGCCCATTTCATGTCACAGGATTTTAAGATGTCTGTCAAGAGCAGCAGGGGGAATGAACAGCTGGTGTCTTACAAACACACCCATTCCCATACTTCCCCAGCAATTTCTGTCTCAAAGAATCCTCGTTTTGCTGCATCAGACATCTAGCCTCAGAGCAGAGTGCAGAAAACATGAGTACTGGCCCTAAGCTACTTTTCTCCATTAACATGCTCACAACCAACACCAAGTACAACATTAAAACTGAAGGCCTGTATTTGCATGTAGGCAGTTAGAAAAAGTTGTGTTATCATACCTGCTCCATGCCTTTACTGTACAAGTCTTTTGCTCCTGCCACAGCAGCAAGATTGTTCGCCTCGGCTGTTGCCTAGAAAACATTGAGCACTATGTATCATCACAGCATTGCCAGCTAGTTACATACATGTAGTTACACTGCATGTAACTACAACATACTCCCACAACCTCCAAAGCTTCAGATTGCCAGGAAAATGCACCACAAAAACAAGTGAAGGTTAGTGATATACATTAAAAAACAGATTACTGACTAGGAGAACGTTTTCTTCAGCTTTCTAGTACAGCTGCAGACAAACTCCCATGTGCTTGTACAGGCTTTTCATCATGAGCAATCTCTTCTGAATGCTCTATTGTTAATAAGCAAATAAGGATCACTAAACTATTAAACGTTAATCCTGATACATCACTACCTGTGAGGAAAGAAGCAAGCTGGTATTATTTCTGCACTATATATGTGCAGTTTTGGTGTCAGAATTTGTAAGAATTTAAGATTATTTTCAACCTGTGTCATGTCAGGGACAGTTATTCTAGCTGATGCTGCAAGATGTCATCTTCTGTATCTCCCAGACACATTTATGGCATGCTAAGTAGAGGAAATGATAGCAGCCTTAGTTTCATTGTGATGAGTTTTCTGAACTCCCCCAAAAGACTAAAGATTTGGTTCCTTGAAGGATGAGAAAACACCCAGAACAGTCATGTCTTAATGAAGTGACACAGGAAGCTTAAAAAAATCCAGTCTTACAAACACAAAGTGGTTAAATCTGACCCTAAAGCCCACACTTGGGTGAAAGCTCTTCATCTCAAACAATTCAAGGGTTCAACACATAGCTTTATACAGTTTGTGTTCAGATCACTTTAAAGGTGATTACATCCTCTTTGGATCAACCCAGTTATCCAATCTAACAAACCCACATAGAGCAGCGCAACACTGCAAGACAGTGGCAATAGCTGTACTACTATATGCCTTCTCCATTTTATCTGCTGCATCTGATGCTAAAAGCCCTCTGAATACAGTCTAAAAGAAACTGACAAAATAGCAAGTTACAGGAAACACATGCTTAGAAATCAAAGCAGCTAAAAAAAACCCAACTAACCAGATATACCCCTGCTCCCTTTGGTAGATGGAACTGAGGGAAGACACAAATGCGTACCCAGGCTACACAGTTCAGATGGCTTTCAAAGTACACAGCTCCTTCAAGAACTACAGCTCTGTGTGGGGGAGCTTCAGACCTGCAGCAGTCATGATCTTCAATTGCAAAGAACTTAGAAAGTACACATCGTCTATCAGATTATTTGAAAGAAAAATAAAATACCTGCAGCATAGATTTCGGATGAGGTAGCTCCTCTCCTTGATAGATTTTAATATAAGCCTAAAAAGAAGAAAGAAAAAAAAGGTTTCTTTTTCCTAAACGTTTATGATTGAAGAAAATGAGAGAAGAGGGATGATATAAAGATAGAGCTCATAGATTATTTCTTAGTAAAAATGCTAAGTATTCGATTAAGCAAATTTCTTCATGCAAGTCCGGCATTCTCACAGTTCTCTTTAGTGCTTTAATCCCTTTGCTTTCCTGTGCATTTGAGGCTGGGGCCTAGCAGGGTAGCATAGCACCTTGAGGAGACGTGGCCACTATTTCAAGAAATAACAGGCTTGACAGCAGGTTTCTGCTCCCTCAAATACGTAAGAAAGTCTTTGCTAGACAGGGCATCTTCACCCAAAACAAAAGAGTGAAGATGACTATCTCACACAGCCTTTCTGGCAAGAGGTCTGTCCAAACACACCCCAGTGCTGGGAGAACCAGTACTTTTATTTCCCCATATGCCTTGCTCCCTTGAAGTGTGGGAGGAAAAAAAGCAGATGAAAGCACTAATGCAGACAGAGCTGAGCTGCCAAATACTTCGGGAAGCCAAGCACGCAGTCTATCCCTCTGTGCCCCACCCGACCAATCCTCCAAGGTGTCCTTTCTTTCACCAGGGTTTCAGAAGGCTGGAAGAGAACACGTCCTTCATGTCATCTTCTCCAGCCCACAAGATGGCCCGTGGCAGCTCTTTGGGACAGATTATTGGAGGGGGCACAGCAGGCAGCAGTAGCCACTTCAGCGCTTTGGACAAGCTGTGCAAGTTAGACCAACAAGGCCACTCTCAGCCCTTCAGAGGCTGGACAGTTATTATTCTTCATGCTACTACTGCTCTCCCCCCCGGCTTGTCTACAAGCCTCTGCCCTGAGGATTTTTCTCTGTAAAGGAGGAGAGAACAAGGTTATCAGGGTCCCTATATACCCAATGCTCTAGGTTGTAGGACAACCTACAAAAATGTATAGAGTTATACAGGACTCTGTTCCCTCGACACCATCCTTGCTTCTGTAGCTATTTCCTCCAAGTAAAAGCCCTCCAGTTTCCAACTCAGACTTCACAATCTCAGCTTTAGATGCACAGTCCCAAGGGAGCAGTCCTCTTTAGTTACATAACCACAGTGTTTCCACAGCACCCTGCATGACTGCTTCTAGACTGGATACAGGACGTGAATCAGGCAGTTTTTTAATAGAGGAGGTTTTACACTCGGTTTTTAGGGTCAGTCCTTTCTAAACTGCTGTTGAATGCGCACTCCTTACACTGTATAGATCAGGTCTTGCCAGAGAAGAAAGTGGAACAAAAAGCAGCATGCAACTGTGTAAATACAGAGACTGAACAGACGAGCTCCAGAGTGTTGATTTTATGCTTGTCAGAACAGCCATGAGTTCTGCATCCCATATCATGTCTTTCCTTTATAAAAAGTTACTTCATTTTACAAGTGCGAAAGACTTCTGGTCTCAGATTCCTCCCTTGCATAGCTTCTTTCTTAACATCAGCCCAACTCTGTTCTGCTTTTAACATGCATGCTCAAAAGTAGTAATGCGAAATTAATGTCTTTACGAATGAGTGCCACTTTCTCCTACTAAGCCAACTGTCTAAGTTATTCCAATTCAGAAAAAGGTTACACACATCAGACCAATTCATGGCGATGCAGGGATTATGTTATCACATTTCTGCTGGTGTCACCATGATACCAGAACAGCTAAAGAGTCTAACAGCTGCAAGTATCATACACAAATATTTTAGAGCATACAGTGGTGCTGCACATGCAAGTGTGTAGAAAGCATCTTCCTTGCATGTTAAAAATGCAGAGGAAATTATCACTGCATACCCAGCAGTTTAAGAGCTGGTTTTCTATCTGTACAATCTAGATGAGATCCTCTTTCAAAAAAAAGGCAACATATCCAGACAAACTAGGATTTCAAAGTAGGAAAAAAAACTCTAATACAGCTTGAAGTATTTCAGCCTATTTACAAAGGAAAAAACCAAACCACAATTTTGCCAATAGTAGCTTGCTAAGAGCTATACTGTTAGGAAGTTGTGTGCCAGTTCTGGAAAGTCAGAGTAATGAAATGAAAATAAAAGCGAGCTGATCAGTGAGTGTCAGCCTAGATATCTTATCTTCTCTGGGAACAACATGCTCTAAAATTAGAATACTTTCTTTTAAGCCATTAACAGAAATAATTAGTATGAATTTGCTTACCTTGAAGTATTCTACAAGATCTCTACAGGTCACCTTGGATCCACTAATCTCTTTTTCTACCAAGTTTTCAGGGGCAAGCAGTAATGGTACCAAATTCCGCAGTTCGTTCTTAAAATCCTCATCTATATCTAGTAAAATTCAATCGATTTCAGACAAAAAAAAGTGGTTAGTTTTCTTTTCTATCTTACATTTCCTAAAGGAACACTGATAACGCTTCAAAATCCATAGCGTCACAACGCTTGACTACATTTTTAAGATATTTAAAGGCTTAAATACATAATATAAATTTAGTAAGTTCTACCTACTCTTTAATCTTAACTTCAGACTGAGAGAACAAGGTTCCATAGTCCTTGTAATATTTAAAGTGCATTTGCCCAATCACACCAACATCTTACACAATAATCCCACAGGTCTGTGCCCTCAGCACAGCAGTGGTTGGCATCCCACTACTGCAAACCCATTTTTAAGCCTTTGCCATTCTGATACATTCCCTCTGTTGGGGGACAAGCAGCAATTGGAGGAATCCTGACTGCCTCTCATTCTGCAGTTGCAGAAGCCTACAGCTTTTATTTTAAAGTCATTCATTTATTTTAAAGTCATAAAATCAACATTCTAAACTAAGAACTTTCGTTTAGCAAGTTCTTAGAGAAAAGCCTTTCAATTTTAAGAAAGTAAAGTCTTTAATTTTGTGAATTCTCCCCTCTGGAATCCTTACTTATCTTTAGAATCCTTATTTAATGACCTTTAAGTATGTCTCAAGTTATCAGATTACAATCAACAGCTAGACACATCCATTCCCTCTGCCTGCCTAACTCCTCTACTTTTAAATGACTGAAAAGAACACACAATGCACATTTTTAGATTCCGTAGTTTCACCTTTTAGCCCTACATTTTTCCAATCAAGCATTTCAATAGCCAACCATTTCAGTGTTTAACTTCCATTATAAAATAAAATAAACTCAGTGATCTGAATCAAGGAACACACAATGGAAAACTTCCTACCATTCAACCTCCCATCAAAATTTGGATTTGTTGCAACTTTAAGACCAGGGTGGGGCAACAGGAAACAGCCAAGATTACTGAAACAGGAGTGAATATGCTTCCTTACATTCTGTAGCTCTTCATGTTGGTTTTGCTTTACCTGAAGAAAAAAAAGGCAGTAAGAACTGCTAATAGTTTTGCAGTAATGCAATTAAGATTAAATACCAGCTTAAAAGCACTAAGAGCACGAAAGTGTGTTTAAGCTTTCATTCCTGAATCTAAAAATGTCAAGTTCTAAACCCCAGAACTACACACGAGTGGGAACATCACAGATGTATTTTATTAGCACCAAGCGTTAGCTCATCGTGCATTATTATCTTGACGGTAAGTTGTCACTTAAGTTAGAAGACCACACTAGGACTACTGGAGATAACTTACCTGCAATCTTTTCTCTAGGAACTTTTTTCCTCCTTCCAAGCCATATGCATGTTCATAAGGATAACTCCAATCTCTAATTAAGAACATTAGTGTCTGTAACAGGAAGAACAACAGCAGTGAACAGCTTGCATCATTCCTAAGATCAAAAACTCCATCACACGTGTGATTATTTTAAGTAAAAAAATGTCTAAGCTTGGCTGCTCTAAATGAAGTAGCCTTGTAGTTTTGTGGTGCAAGCGTTTGCTTGTTTAAAAAAAAAAAAAAAAAAAAAAAAAAACAACCACCCACAAAACAAAACAAAAAAACAAACAACCAAACCTACACACCAAACACAAAAATGCAACTCACTCCTTATCTGAAAGGAAGTACCCAAGTGTCTCAAAAAGATAGCTTCCCTGTTCCATGGGTTTGCCTTTTGCTATCCCACAGGGATTACACTGTCCTCTCTCCAATCAGCTGAAGATAGAAAACAAACCTTGACATTACTCTATCAGACGAGGTGCTTTACGAAGAATGCATCTTGCCTGGGCCAATCACAAGAACATCGGGGACTCACACTTGCAGGCTGAATATTCTAGATACACAAGAGTCTTAAAACTCACCACTAACAGCAGTTGACTAGTACCCTATAGGTTAAGGAGGATACTTCAGGATGGGAGAGATCTCAGTCTTTGTCTCCACTAAACAGAAGCAGCCTCAAACCCTTCTCTGGCCTAGCAAACAGTCAGGAGATGCTAGCAGTTTTGAGACTTTTAACAGCCAGCAACGCTTCAAGTAAATGAAACGCAACATGGCCCTCCTCAATGCTATTTCTTAGAGGCCACACGACCTTTACTCAGAACCACGTACCACCAGCAAAGACCAACCATACCTCGAAGAGTAATGAGTAAGAAGGCAGTGCCAAACTTTTCTCCTCAACGTCTGCACATCACTTGACACTTTCATTCCTTTTATGCCTTATAACTCAGGCACAAAGCTATACTTGCCCAAAATGTGATCCTCTTCAGCATTTTTCCATTGTGCTTTTGCCAAGAAATGTGGTGACAGGGAAGGAAAATCAGTCTTGTAGAGAACAGGCTAGCTTCAGCCCAACTAATTTCTCATCATAAATTATCCTGAGCTCATTTTCTACCCATTCAATTGCTTAAGATCCATTTAACATATATAGTTACCTGAAACGGCTTTTGATAAATTTCTTCCATAGCTAGTCTTCCATATTCTGTAAACAACTGATAGAAAGAAGAGTGTAAGGATGCCACATATAAAACACATTTTTTCTACTGTACAATATTCTATTATGTCACTAGAAAATAAAGCATTTGATCTTAAATCTATTATGGGTTGAGAATGGCCAATACACCTCAAGAACAAGTACACCAATCCTCAGTAAAATTCAGGACGGAGACATGATTTCCACTGGTTTCACAGTGCCATTCCATAACTGTCAACGCACCGCAGCTCTAAGTGGGTGGCCTGTGGGCTATTCCCAGAGGAAAGCTGGCTGCGTCTCTCAGCAGACCAGTTTCCAACACTTGTTTCCTAGGCTAAGGAGGAGAGCCTGTCTAACATTTGCCCCTTACTTCCCACAAAAGATTTATTCCTGGAAATGTCAAGGAACTTGGCTAGATCCAATGTATCGGACATTTAAATACAAGCCAAGTTCAGCAGCATCCCAGATCTCTACTTCAGCCCATGACCTTAACTGATAATTGTTCTTTCCTTCCAGTATAAAGGCAAGTGTCAGCTGTCTTCCTCTCATTGCTTTCACCATCTTTAATACCAGCAGCATCATTCTTCACTGGACTGAGTGGGCCAGACAACCCACAAGAACAAGAATTATGGACTGTGATGGCTGTTTCAGCAGAGGTCAATACTGTCAGGTGTTGATCCATGCTAACCCCCTTACAGATCTTGGAGGTCAAAATGAAGGAAGCACACCAGTATCCTCTAGTACCAGGCAACTGTTCTTCTGCATTAAAACTAACTCCTGGAACATCTCAGGTAAATTTCATGGCTAAAAGGACAGTTCCCCCTGCGTTGATCACAAGAGCATCTGAAAACTTAAAAGACTAATTTAACACAAATTAACTTCCAAGCCCTTGTCACCCTGAGCAAAAGAAGCTCTGAAGTGGCCAAGCACCCACATGAGACTGGCTCCTTTGATCCTAACTCCCTACCTCAGTCTCTTCCCTGCTACATGTTAAAGGCAGCCAGAGACTAATAGTATTTCAGAATAACAGAAACTACTGTTATAACAGAAATTCAGAATTTCCTTCCCTCAGCCCATGATTCCTTGCCCCAACTTTAAATGCAGGGGTGTCCCCTACCCACTGCTTATATTTATCACCCTTCCGTTCCCTTTCTTCCCTCAAATCTCACCCTCCAGTATAAGAGAAAGGGATCACTCTATTCAGATTGCACTGAGGCTGTCAAAGACCAAAGTCATGAGGAAAGCCTGGCTTTCAAATAATTAGCTAAGGCTTTTTTTGTTAGCAGTGCTTGGTTGGGTTTTTTTGGGGTGGGGGGATGTTGGCCCAGTGATACAACTCTGTTAACTGAGAACAGCATCACAAGACTATGTTTAGTTAGTGCTCTTCTACTTCCAGTATTGGCAGCCAGTCTTTTGCAGTACTGACCAAGACAGAAGTCCTTTCAATCAGAAGACATGTAAAACAGTTTTAAGCTGTGACAAGGTCATAGCCTGAGCACAGGCAGGCATTTGTTAATACACAAGCTAGCCTTTAAAGCTACAGGTTTTAAGTTAAGGAGATAAGGTTCTTGCACCATCCATATGAAGCCAGAATTCAGTGGCCTTTGACCACAATGTTCCATCAGAGGATGAAAACTCCACAGTACAGAGAGGACAACTCTTTCCTGCTTTTGATTCTAAGCAGAAATAAAACTCCGTAGAAGTTTCTCAGTTGAAAAACTAGAGAAGGCTTCTGGATAGAACATACTCTTTCTGCCCTGACCCAAGCTCCCATATTTCTTTAGAAACTGGTTATGATACACCATCCATTTTCCTATTTTAGAGAAAAAGAAGAAACATTGGAATTTTCTCATTAAGTACTTCCGTAAATCATTTTCCTTTCTCATCCTTTCAGGAATTTCAGAACTTACTATATAGAGAACAGACTTTAGAAAGATAAGATTTAGCCAGATTAGAAGCCTGTACCATTTTACCTCTGCATTGGCACAGTAGAAGCATCACAGCATCATGGAGTTGACGCAAATAATATTGTTAGAGGCAGTACTAGTTTTAACATCAGGTCAGCTTCAGTGTTTTATATGAAGTAGCAGGCAGCTCCCAAATCACAGTTACATTAGTAGTAACTTCAAGAACAATGTGAACACTAGCCGTTCAGAAGCAGCTTAATATAAATTCAGCATATTCTTACCTGCAAATGTTGAAGGTCATCTTCCTGAATATTCTGGGACAAGTTGTATACCTAAAAGAGACAGTAAAAGAATTACAGTGTAACATGAAACCATTACCTTACATTCATGTAGTCTCTTAGGTATCTTGAGTATTTTTACCCCCTCCAGAAAAGTCTAACTACCAGAAAGTCAGCAACGAGAAAGGTGTCATAGAACGCATGTCAAACAAAAGTCACTTCCTTATACAGAGTACTAGGGACAAAACCACTGCTGACTACCCTAATCCTTCTTAGAAGAGCTTCCTTCCAAGGAAGCAAGCCACAAAAGAATCAGAGAAGACTGCTGAATGCTTCAAATCACCACATACATGTGAGACAGGAGGACTGAGAAGGGCACGTCTGTTTGCCATCCTCAAGTCCAAGTGCTCTAGGATTCAGTGATCCAGCAGCTGCATCTCTGACACAGAAATGACTGGGTAGTTAGTTCACCAGGTTTTTTTGCTTTCAAATCTTCCCAGAGAAATCTGATTTTATCCAGGGAGCTCGTGACTGTTTCAACAGCTTGAATACTAAACAGCAGTAAACTCAAAGATGCACCAAAAACCCTCAACTTATCCTAACCACAGGAATAAAACAAAACAAACAAAAAAATCCAAACAAACCCACCAAAAACAACCCCACAGGGCAGAAGTAGTGTTGTACATACTCCTGTTACTTTCATGTTGTAGTATGTCTGAAGAAGGTCACTTGTCACCCCCCAAAAACCTGCTCACTTTTGGCGCATTTAAGGCACAAGCTTAAAAGTAGTTTTGAGCATAGCACAAAAGAATTGTCAGAAGTTTAACAGTAGCAGCAATTTTAAGTTTGGCTGATCACAGTGTAATTTCACCCCAAACTGTATCTAAAAGATTCTGTAACACATCTGTACAGAAGCAGTTGCTACTTTGACATCTTTTTTTGGGATTCCTCAGTTCTGTCAGCACTTTAACTCAGGTTGGCCTTGGATAACTTTGATTCCACAGAGAAACTTATGTAGTATACTACACTGAAAATAAGACATTAAGTATGAAAGCTTAAATGATAGTTGGAGGAAGAGATGCAGGTGAACTTTCAAAGAGTGGCTAGAGAGATATTCTTTGCATGTTCAGGATAGAGGGTTCCTATAGCTGCCATTATTTGCCAGCACAAGTATTCTCACCTGGACAGAGCTCGTCATGGTGCTCAGAGCAAAAACCGTTGCACAGTCTTTGATAGTGGACTGGCTATCAAAGGCACCTTGGGTATCCATGAGTAGTACAGCAACCTAGAGAGTTTTAAAGAGCAGCAATAGTTAACCAAATTGTTAACACTTTCAAGCTCCAGGCCATTGGGATAAGTTCTATTTCAAGCAGAGCAAGTCTCTGCCCCTATACCTACTTATTAAATCTCAGTCAGCTCCCTGTGCACATGCTTATATACACCTACAGCTGAGTAAGCAACAACTAGAGGGTCGTGTCAAAAGCCTCAAGTCCTTGGGCTTGCTACACTAGTTACCCTCTCCCACAGAAATAGCCTCCCTCAGCCCAGTGGAGATAACAGACAGCTCTCATTCACTGGAAGAACTTCAGTCTCAGCTGACAATCCAGCATAGTTCATTAGAGCTAAGAGTGAGATGGTTACTTTTAAAAATACATCTATCTTAAAATTGTTTTCAGAAGAAAACAAGATAATTGATACTGACTGTCTGCTAGAATGACAAGGAATACAGTGATCTTAATAATAAAAGTTAATCTGTCCAATTCCCATCTTTGGAATCTACTACAACTCCCTTCTTTTTCAGCTAGAGAGGACTGATAAGCAAGAACAAGTGAGTGATTTGTCCCCAGAGCACAACTAAATCCTCACAACTTAACTGTTTTTTAGCCAGAGAACTATTTGGTTAGCTATGAAATTTGATAAAACTTCCTGCACGCCCCTAAGCAACTACCTGTTTAAGATCAGTGTCCCATATTAAATGGCCATCAGATGTTTCTTTTGCAAATGCAAAGGGTATGAAAGTTAAATAACCAAGAGCTTATGGTTCAGGAGAACATGAATAGCTCAAGATACACCACAAGTATTGTGGAGTAAATATTTATTAACAACATTAACACTTTGTTTCAGCATGAAGATAAATACCTACAACCAAACTTTGTAGTTAAACTGGCTTAGAGTTAAAAAAGATGCACCAGCTTTGATTAGAATAGAGTTAGTGCCTTTTATCCCACTGTTAGACTTAGTCCTTTTTTACAGACTACCTGTTAAACTATTCAGAAGGACCAGCTTCCAGACACTGAAGCTGTTTCCAGTATTTATAGCCATGCATTATATTTCAGTAGAACACAGCTACAAGCTAGAACACATTCTTACCTCTCAAAAAACAGTGTTACAGAGCTGATTTTATCACAGCATTTGCCTATATATGGTATTTATAGCCATTACAGTTTTACAACATCCACAGGATAACCCACGCAACAGCCTGGACAGAGTAGAGTTTGCCAGAACAAAGTACTCTCAGAATGGGACTATTGTTGGAGACTGAATCTTACAACCCAGCAGGAAAATTGATACTTGCACTGATATAAGGTTTCCAAATATGTTACGCAGCTACTGAATGCAAAGAAAAGCAACTGATGTTTGAACTGCCTCCGTGAAACCTATGGCATTAACGGTATACACACAGAGGCAAAAATCCTTACATACACCTATTTAAGTCAAGCACTTACCTTTGTTCCATTTGGTTTATCAATTACAAACACTTCACTCCAAATCTGAATGCCAGTGGTTTCCCGTTCACATCCACCTCTCCATGTAAACCCAGTCAATGGCTCAGTGTTTCCACCTATCCAGCAAGGAGAAGTCTACAAAACAAGAGGAGAAACTCCTTTAAAACCAAGGAGGAGATTTCTTTTTTTTTAACATGCTATGTTTTAGCAGACTTCCACATTGTTCTCTCATTTTCCTAAGAGCCGATGGACAACACTACACAAAATATTAAAACACAGTGCTACTCTGCTGTGTTTCAAGGATCATCCACAAAGAAATGTTGTTTGAGTCTACTATATTTCAGTGGTTGCATGACTCTACAGCCACTGAAGAGTGTATGTGCACAGCTTTCAAGTCTCAAGCACTCAGAGCTAATGAGAACAGCTCAGTTTTGTCCATCGATTCCACTTCACACTCATGCTCTTCTCTCACAGTTGAGAGAACTCAACTCAAACACAGTTTGAGCTAATAGCATGTATTTTAACTACAAAACCAGCTAAACCTCTGCAAGGAACAAAAAACCTGATCTTGACTTAATCCTCTCCCTTTCCCCTCACAAACAGGTCAACTGCTGAAACTAGCTAAGCATCTAAGCCCCTGCACTAACAGAGGCCAGCACAAGACTACCAACACCAGCTTGCAGAAGCCAAAGAGAATAGGCAAGGACCAGAAGATCGACAATCTATACTTGTCACGGTTACAAAATACTTTTTCCTAAGTGATTAGGATTCAAGAGAAAAGGTCATGTTGAGAGTTTGATACATGTCAATCAACCCATCCATATTAAAATTTTATTGGCACCTTGCCCACTTTGGGAAAGGCTGTCAGAGAGTCAAGTACAGTTTTCAGCTAACATTTCTGGCTGATGGTACCGTAATGAGATCTTCGGTCCTCAAGGACAGGCAACACATGGAGCAGTGGCTCACGCACAAGAATCCAGCCATTATATGAGCACATTTAACCCAGAAATGTAGTTTATGTATTGGGCAAGTAAGGAGCATGAACAGGTACCCTGAGGAAGTTTCACTGTGATAGGTTTATATATACTGAAATCCTACATGAGAGAAGTGGTAGGCAGACAATAGTTTAACTGATGAGGGAGCTTAGAGAAAAACCTTTATTTCACAGGCTAGAACACAGCATGCTGGCAGAACAGAAAGAAACGTTTAGTGAATTTGCCTCTGACTGCCCAGAGATTACCAGCCAGGAAAGTGTGCTCTTTGAGAAGGTCAAAGGGGAGACTTCTCAATTCACTAGGCGATGGTCTCTACCTTGCTGACTCTGCGCTGGCAGTTTTCAGAAAATTTCAGAAAAGAGCTCAAGACACATCTCTTCTCAAGACACATCTCAGAAAACAGCATGAGCACCCAGGGGCTATACAGAATAGAAATACTTACTACAAGTAAGTGAAACTGCTTATTTCTAAAGGGGGATGGGAAAAAAAACCTGCACACATTCCTCATGCCTAGCAGCATGCAGAGAAAACCATACTAAGAGGGGAAAGGCAATCAAGCAGTTCTGCACCAGCATTCTCCCAAATGTTAAGTGCACACCATTCAGCTCTGCTATTTGGATCAGATATGACAAAACTAAGTGAGATGAGCAGATAAAAATTCAGAAAATGAACACAGGTATCCAAGTGAAAAGAACCACAGGTAGGTTGTTTGGGGTTTTTTTTTGTTGGATTTGTTTTGTTTTGTCATGCACATACCAGAGAGACTAAGCAAAACATGAACAGCTTTCCCCTGGAGTTTTTTATTCCAGGAGATGCTTATGCATCCACTGACAACTCTAGAAATCAAAGCTCCAGGCCTGCTTTGGGCTTCAGTACACCTCAGAATACAGTTTTGCAATGTCAAATCATGTTTCACAGGTATATGTCAATGCACTGTAGCTTTTCACTTTTTCAAAAGAATCAGTTACATTATTCAACAATATGTTTCATTTGTCATTTATACAAGAATACTTTTTCCCGGTTTGGTCCAGAAATTATCCTTATTTGTAGCAATTCAGACCAAAACTACACAAATCTTTTGACAAGAACCTCAATGAGCACTAGATATGACCACAATCGATTTCATATGTGATTCATGTCACAGGAGGCTTTGGTGTCTTAACAGTAACAACTTCAGCTGAAGCTGCTTCATCTGGTGGATGATGCACTTAAGCCTGTCTCTGACTGACCTCTGCATCAGTTTGAAGCACTCCTAGCTTGTCACTTCCTTAGTCTTTCCTTAGTTAAAACTCAGTATTTTAACAGTCTCCATCCATCAAGTTGGCTTGAAAAATATTCAAGAGATGGGAGGACGAAAAAAAGACTTTGTTCCTACATGAAATCAAGCTAGAAGTTGCACTACAATTTTGTATCGGTCACCTAAAAGATTACCTCTCTAAATATATTCCACACTAAGGAAAGGACCAATGCAGCTTTATTTGCATAGTGCCATTACTACACAGTGCACCTTGCAGATTAATACAAGCTAAGAAGGTCATACGCCTGTAAAAAAAGCTTTTAAATCTAAATTTATTAGTGTTACTGCACCCAACTCTTAATAAGGCTTAAACTGCAACAAAGATCACAGGATCCTTGCAGCAGCTTGCTGAGTACACAACTGCTGCTGTTTTGTGGCAGATTATTCTGTTCCATTTCAAATGAGCAATCATAACACTAATATCAGTGCTTGAAATGAGATTCCCACCTCCCTGAAGTTGGTGACCAATCTCAGCTATGCCAAAATCCTACCTGTGACTTCAACTGGCACAAGTGAGATTTTTAGAATGGTAACTTTTCACATGACCTCCAGCTCTTGGTTTAAGACAAGAAAATGGGATTCTGAAATATCTTGGCAAGTTTTTCATCACACATGTTAATATCCACCGGGGAGGATATCCCAAATTGCTTCATTAGCATACAAACTGAATGCAGATGCTTTAGTATTTTGTGCAGGATCCAATATTTAGTTCACAGAAAATACAGACAAATTAAGCCTGACTGAAGATGGAACAATCAGACTAAAGAGTACAATAAAACTATACCAAGGCCTCCCCTCCTGTACTGAAATTTGCATAAGCATAGAGGATACCATTTGACTTGATACAATTCAGCAGTGCTCAAAAAAGGAGGCATTGCACTTATCTTCTCTCATCCACAACTCCCATCAATCAGTTTGCAGCAGCTCTGATGCTTGTCAAACTCTTTCAACTGAGCTGGCAGGAAAGCAATTCAGCAAAGTGCAGTGTCTTCTGATGCATCACTGAATTGGATCAGCTCAGCCAAGGGCCTGCAAGCATTACAGCTTCAGAATGCAAATGCCTGGCCAGAAGCAGCACATGGAGAGCAAGACCCCTCTGCTTTTGGTAAGAGATAGTTGTTACAGTAGATGGCCAAGTTTGCCTTCATCTTCAGTTTAAGTGAAACAAATGGTATTTTGAAGGACACCTATAGAAAACTGGAAAAAGTGATTGCACAATAAAGGGAACAGAGAGGCATGATATTACACAAGGCTGAAACAGTGTTTCAATCCATTTTGCTTTATGAACTTTTGTTTTATTTCAGTCTGAAAGTCAGAGTATTTGCTTAAAACCCACCCCATCTATTTTTGGAAGGAACTAGCACTACCTCTACGCAGCCACCATCTAGCTCAGATTGCTATACTTCTTGGGAGTTTGGGTTTTTTGTTTGTGGTTTGTCTGGGGGTTCTTTTGGGGTTTTTTGGTTTGTTTTTAATATAAACAGGACACTAGAGAGGGTTTATATACACACACAAAAGGCCACCCACTGAACAGCTATATCAATGAAATGTTTATTCCTCCCTAGGTTAAAAGAGTCTTAAGAAGTTGGGAGCACCAGCTTGCTACTCTGTATTCCTCCTACCATATCCTCAGTGTCTTTCTTACAGAGCTCTTGGCAAATCAGTGAGAGGAATTCAATAGCAGGCACTACTGGGAGTGAGAGAAAAGACGTCTTCATCTGCCAACTACCAGCAGCTTCTTTGCAATATTCCCATATTTCCTGTAACTGCAGGGTTCATCTTGACTTCTCCTCAAGCCAGCTAGCACAAAGGTAAAATAGATGCAGTCATGGTTAGTTTCTGCTACGTGAATTCCAACTCCAAAGAACAGCTACCAAAAAAGTAAACAGTTCCAGTTTTTTAAAAGCTTCAAAAAGCAACAAAACACCAAATTGTCAATATTCACTATGCAGATTAAAAGAAACACACTACAGCCTGTGACAGGCAGATGTGTATGTTCACAGGAGGCCCTACGCCACCTTCTCCATATCAGCCAAGAGTTCGAAGAATAGTAGACACAAGACAACACCAGCGAAAAGCTACAAACTAAGAGAAGGAATTAAATTTTAGATCAGGCATTCATTAACCAATGACTTAAAAGGATTTTAAAAGTTCCTGGATTATGCACATTCCAAGCAGCAAACAGGAGACTTTCTCCCTTTTGCCATACCTCAGATTTAAGCAGATTCAGTCCTCCAATAGCTACCTGAAAAGACTCTTCTTTTTGCAATGGCTAAGCTAGTGCTACAATACGATTTCAGGAGATCAAGCCAAAGCAAGATTCCTCCAAGCCACCACATGGATGAGCCCTTCTCCAAAGCTCAACTAGAAGACCACCATACTCCCTCATTCAAGTTCTTCTCATGCCCACTTACATCAGGACACCAATAAGTTCCCTTGGTAACTGCAGGAAAATTTATACTGAAAACTGTTGCTTAAATACACTTCTTCACAGAGTAGAAACAGAGTAGCTGGCTTCCCCACCCCCCAATAAGTAAGAAAAATTTGACCTGCTATATTTGTGCTCAAGTTAACAAATACAAAGGTAAATGACTAAAATACCAAACAACTTTTCTCCTGCAGGGAAAATCCAAATTACTCACCCTGTTATACATGTATCTAAGCATGAAGTCCAGCAGAAAAGATTTTCCTTTGCGGAAAGCTCCTGCTACAGACACAACTACTATGTTAAGATCTTTGATGTGTTCCTGAAGCAAGATTTTTTCCAATGCTTCTTCATCTAATTCAAAGTTATGGTCATCTTCATGAGCAAGAACAATCTGTATGGGGCGCGGCTTATCCAAATCCACTTCATCATCTGAGTCTGGCAGGGCATCTGAGTCAGGTAGGGCATCCTCCTCTTCTTCTTCCTCATAATGCTTACCTGCAAATTGACAGGTTACAGTACATTAGTAAGTCAGAGCTTAGGGCACAAGACATTTCTTTCAAGTGAAGCCTTGAGCTGGGTTTTCATTCCCAGCAGCGAAAGTGATGTTCTTGGGAATGCACAGGTGCAGACAATGAGATAACAGAAGTTCCCTGTCCGTTTTCATCAGCTTTGTGTATAGCCTACTTTTCAGATCTTCAGCATTCTCTATGTTTTACGAAATCACAAAAGAAAACTGGTTTTCAGCATCAAAACCCCTTTTAAAGGCTTCTTAAGTATAACTTCCATTAAAAATCAAGGGCTTTTTCTCTCTTATCTGGAAAAAATTCATTAGCTTAAAATAAGCTCCAGAGAGGACCAAAAAAGGCCATTTTTAGATCACCACCTTCTTATACTATTGTAAGGAAGAAGAAAAAAGAAAAAAAAAAAAAAAAAATCAATGTTTCTGTCAGTTTTGTTTGCCAACATGTACAAGCAAGATCACTGATCTAGTATGTACCTTAGGATTACATACATCAGATGACTAAATTCCTCTCTAATTCCAACACATTACACCTGTTTCAATTCTCAATACAGCACAGACTTCAGAGTGCCTATTCACTGCTTTGCAAGAGGACAAACTCCTGAGCATGTGCAATGCCTAACACTTCCAGGATAAGAAAAACAAAAAACACTGAAGTAGTTTCTGGCTTCATACTCTTCCTACGACACATTTTTAAGCAAGATTTAACAATACTAAGTACCAACTCTTTCAAAAAGAGTTAAGAGAGTATTTTATACATAATTTAAGAATCAATACCCTTTCAGGATCAACCAGTAGCTGAAAGAACTATAACTCAGATGAGATTTAAATTACTTATGAATGATAAATCAAGGTAACACAGCCCTTCAGACATATAGCAAGAAAGCCAAACAAACTGACCTGTCCAATATGAAGCCCCCTCTCTTGTTTGAGTACCACAACATTGAAGTTTGTCCCACAGCAGAAATGAACTCTACCACTGCCCTGATTCCACTTTTCCTATCAAGCACTTGGAGGCAATTCTGTAAGCACAAAACTGCTTCCAACTCCAGATCTACATTTTGCCATATTCTACCAGAATCCCATGTGCACAAACCTGAGGCACCTTCCTAGCAGTTACTTATCTGGGAACATCACTCTATGAATTTAAGTACGTTGGACTGCTAGTCACGCTTGCATTTCCAAGCTTTGCTTTAACAAAGAAGCAGCCATCTCCAGTTACTTGATGCATTGCATACAGGTATGTTACGTGGCCCTCACGCTTCCTGTGAAAGCAGCCCAGAAGCAGTGTTCTCGTGCAGGATGTGTCATGAGGCACCATGGAACGCATCACAGTTTAATTCATTCATGGCAGAGACCCTGCCAATACCCACAGGACCTGACAAGTCATTCCTGCCAGATTTTGCATCCTAGATACCATCCTCAGCAAAAGACTTATGAGCAGTGCTCCAACGCACTCTGTTTTGTGGATGTAATGAGACATTTGAGTTATTACCACGAACTTGAAAAACTGGAGTTTTCAGCCAGTTCTGACAACATTTCACTCCATTGCAAATCAGAGAGGACGCTTCCATTTCCAAGCATCTAATCTGTGCTGCTTCAAAGGCCAGTGGAACTAAATCTTAAAAAACATTGGTTTGAATGTATTAAGCTAGTGCAGTACTTGGTTTGAACAGGAAGTAAATTTGAATGGTTAAATCCTAAGCAGCTAGAACTAAACTCCAAGACTACCCAAGTGGGTGTGCAAAACAGCCCCTAGCATCACCCTAACTCAAAATGATTGACAAAGCAGGCCAAAAAATTCAATTACACCAGCAGGCCTGACAACTGGAAGGAGGAACCTTAAAAAGAAAAGCTATCAACAGGACACCAAACTATACAAACTACATTGACACAATATGGGTCACCACTTCAGAAGAAAAACTCTCACCTTTGGCCTAAAGCTTTTGTATTCCCAGAAATTAAACAAGCCCTCTTTTTGAAAGAGTTTACAGAACAGGTTTTGCCCCATATAGGTAGCATCCTCTGGAGGCCAGAAAACTTGGGAGGTGAGGTACGAAGATTCTGACAGTCAGAAAGAAAGCCTTCAGCGTCACAGCCTAGAAACATAAAGGGAATAATTCTATTGATAAAAGCATTAAGATTAGATAGCTCCAAGAAGAGATGCCTATGTTTTAGCAAACAGATATTCACACAATGTAGCCTCTGCTTCTACGTATTCCCCAGGCAACAAGTTTAACCTGATTACTTAAAACAGCCTTATATTCTTTTATTTAAATGCATACTTCGCTTCAGCGAAGATAAGGTATCAGTTTCGTAAACTAAGGTAGACTGTAAAATAGTCTGAAGCAACACCTGCAACTTCTCTTCATTCACTTGGGGCCCAACATTAACCATCTTTTCCTACCTGGAAGTCATCAGAACCTTAGCAGACCTCAAAGTGCGAGTTGTAGCAGCCTCCTTCCGCCAGTGCAGAGCATAGCCACCCAAAGCCTCTTCAAGCCAAGAAGCTTTCTGAACAAACAAGTAGAGTGGTCTTTTATCATTAGTTACTTCTAAAGAAGCAGATTCTCCCTATCGCAAGTAGATAGTACTATCAAGAACTTACACACAATATGCCCATTAAAAACTCACAACATCTTGTTAATAGTATTCTGCACCCCTGGAGCTCACTTAGCTCAGAGGGGACAGGAGAGAAGATTCATCTTAGTCCCTATTCAATTCCTATTAGATTTGACTTAGCAGCAGAAATTGGAAAGTCAAGTCCAGAGCATCAAGTTGGGTTTTTTGTTTGTTTGGGGTCAGGTTGGTTTGTTGGGGTTTTTTTTTGACTAGCCAGCCTAATATATCTGAAAGTTCCCAACCTACCTACAGAAAAGACCATCACTGCATGAATCAAGCACTTTAGAGGGTGGAGAACTACAGTGTTGACAGCTGTGAAGGAAACTTGATCCATCCAGAAGAGCTGGTTTGATAACTTCATGCTCCAGTTGCAGGGAACACCTTTCCCTTCAAGAGATTTTGAACTAGTTGGTAGTTACCGGGACAGACATCGCACAAGTTAAGCACGTTAACTGTAGAACAAGTGCTACTGCTCGCCCCAGCAACATAATCAGCATTTGCTAAACTGTCACGTGCTCCTAGGCAGATGTCACAACCTTTTTGGTCCTTTATACTACCTTCTGGCTGCCTACCCTGTTACTCTGGCTAGTCTCAGGCAGCACTGGAGTACTTTGGAAGCCCTTCTAGAAGGCTTCGGCATCCTGAGCAGAAAGATCACATTCCACTTCCAAGAACTACTTTCAGAGCAGTCTCTCAAAACAATAGTCAGGACAAGAAGTCCCACTTCACAGTCCAGTTTTCTGCAAAAGCTGCAGAAGCACAGTAGTAAGTTCTGTAAGTAGTTCATAAAATAAGCGTGCTGATAGCACTATCAAGTCAAGTCAGGCCAAGAGTTAATGAAATTCAGAACTTGAAGCCCTACTCATTACTTCCACCCCGCCCCTTTCCTCACCTGCCCCAGCATGTCAGTGTACTACTTAAAACTCAGAATTTAAGTGGATTTGTCCTAAAGCCCAGTCTAAGGACCACAAACTGCTCTAGGTTCTTGCAACAGTCCCAGCAAACCAAGTATAGGAATGGATGGGGACTAACTTCAGAAGAGGTGGCATTCACAAAATGACCACCCCTACAATGAAGTGTTTCTAGCCAACTGGACAGTAATTTGGACTTGCAAAGCTCATGACAGCCTCCCTATATAGGTCTCTGTGACAACACATTCAGTACTGCTACAGAGGCAATCAAAGCAACAGACTTTTGTTGTTTTGGGGGTTTTTTGTTGTTTGTTTTTTATAGTGTCTCAGCACTTTGAGAAGTCCAGTTCCATTCCAGTAATGGGGTTACAGACCCAGCACATCCACTCCATACATTCACACTCAGAGAGTGGTTGTTTCAGAGGCATGGCCGATGGCTCCTTGCACTGCATGCAGAACAGCCAGGCAACACTGCCTCCTGCCACAGTACTAAAGACAGGCTGGTAGATTCATCCAATTCACTCATGGGGTTGGTCTCAATGCTGTTGGAAATCCCCATGTGCACAGAAGACTGGATCTCAGGCTTCTAGTACATACAGAAAAGCTCTCATCTGTCAAAGCATATGGCACTAGAGCTTGTAGTGCAGTGTTGCAGGCCCAGAAAGCCACAGCTACTTTCCCCCCCCACCCACCCCAAGATGTTCACCTGACCTTTGAAGCTTCTGTGCTACTGAACTAACATACTCCAGACTTCAGTCATATCTACCACTCTGGCTGGAGCTGATGCAAAAAGATCATCAACTGGAATTGCCCGTGAAGTCTGCCACCCATTCAGCCCTATTTCTATGGCTGTTCGCTAATCACTTCCTACTCCATTTTGGCTTCTTCCAACCTAAATCATTGAATTAGAGCATGTAAGCTAATGCAAAGTTCTGATTGTGCATAACCACTTCCTAACCCAGATCAAACAGGCTAGGAGATACAAGAGAAGCAATCCTATACAGCAAGACAAAGAAGCAGACAGACTTGAATGGAAGCAAATATAGCCAAGAGAAGATATTACCACACAGTTTCCCTATAAACTCTTCAGTCCACTCAGCAACAACTACAGCAGGACTACTATTGACACTTATCAGCCAAGTATCCAGAACAAGCACCGATTGTTGAAATGCTAAGCCAGATTTTGAGAACAGTAGCTTCTTGTGTATGTACAGACAGTATTTCAACTGAACAAACTCAACTAAATGAACCGCTTCTTAAATTATGAGGTAAAATGAAAAGCTAATTCCTGCTTCCCCTAAGTACATAGCTAGCAGCTGATGACCTATTTGTCCTGCAGTGTAAGAACATGGGAGTGAGAACAGCTCAACCTGTGAGCTATGAAAATAGGAGACAGCCTGCTTTAAATTCAAGTTCCTCCCTTTAAGCACCTTAATTGAAAT